ACTGTCCTTTTTTTGGAAAACTAAAATATGGTCACCCTATTATAAATATACTTAATTATTATGAAAATACCAGAGATGGCTTAATTAAGCTCGGGGCATTTTTTGGTATTTTCGCCTAAATTTGACAAACTCAAAATCAAATGTTTACCCTACACGCATACAATGGAGGAAATGAAAAAAAATGGTTTCATTGTAAAGAAAACCATTTGAACTACAAAATATGAGTGTAATTCTTTATAAATAACATTATATATATTTCAGATATTACAATAAACACAAAAAAAAACATAGGCGCTTTTGGAGTTTTAAAACATTGTTTTTTTGAAATTCTGTAATTCAGGTTCTATTAGGCCCAGCTCTCTGCAATTTACTTTGTTTGATGCCACTACATGCCAAAAAGTACCAGAAAAAAAGAATATTTCAAATAACAGCTTCTAAACAGGAGTTACTACATTATATCTGAAGCGAGTCAAATTGTCTATTTTTGCATCTAAATGTGGCATTGTGAGTTTCCTTTGCAAAAACAGGTTTTATAAAACACATTAACCCCACAATCCTATTTTACTCTGTGCCATAAGCACTTTAATTGATTATTAATTGAATTGTTTCATTTTTATGTTTTTCTAAGTAGTAATATACAAAATGGCACAAGCTAATTGGACCAAATTTCACATATTGTGTTATTCTACAATCAGTTGAATTATTTCAGGATGCACAAGACTGTCTACATTATAAAATATATCTGGTCTATCACAATCTAAAATAGAATCCATATCCTCCAACTTTATATCATTCCATTTATATGCATTCTGTATTGGGATACTGATTCACAGCATCTCTCACCTCATCAGTTGACTCACTCCTCTATCCAGCATCTCTCCATGACAACACTGCATCATCCATGGTCCAGAGCGGAGCTAATTTGCTATCCGGCAGCCTAGCTATAACATTCAGAGCGTCAAACAAACACATATCAATTCATCCACACAGCACTGTAACAATACATGTATATTTATAACTGCTAATATTTTAACTGCTACTATGTAAAGGGAATATTGCTGTAAAAAAAGCACCTTATTTGTTTAGTGTTTGCAAACAAGTGTTACTGCACTTTTGTTCATATAGCAGTACTTTTAAAATAAAATTGCACAATGCACCACTTTTGAATTCATTATTGAATTTTGTGCATAACAGTGCGATTAATCGTGATTAAAAATCATGTGATGAATCACGGGAAATGTAATCATTGCCCAGCACATACATACAGACACACACACACACACACACACACATATATATATATATATATATATAATTAAAAATACATGTTTTTCAACAAAAAAATAAAGTTTATCAGTCTTTCAGGCAACCCACAGAACAGCTAGTTTTGAAAAGATGTAGTTTTGCAATTTTGCACATCTCTAGTTAAAATTGGATCATTCTTGCGATCCCAGAATTCAGACAATGAAACGAGAAAGACTCAGTGCTGCAATAATGAGATCTGTTGCAGTGCAGCGCAGCGTGGGACTCCCTGCTGCTCTGGTTTCTGTGGAACTGTGGAGCTGCATGGACACATAGCGCAGACAGAGGATCAGGGCTGATTTCTAAAGCTGTGCCCATGTGGGGGTGTAACACTGATGCAATGATGCTCATAGCGCAGCGCCATAGTGTTGAATAATCCATGAATTGATCTGTTGAACATACGCATATCCACGTATGGATATAGTAGTACCATGTGTCTCAAAGGCAAGTGTGTGTGTGTGTGTATATATATATATATACATACACACAGATGCATCTCAATAAATTAGAATGTTGTGGAAAAGTTCATTTCAGTAATTCAACTCAAATGGTGAAACTCGTGTATTAAATAAATTCAGTGCACACAGACTGAAGTAGGTTCTTTTAATTGTGATGATTTTGGCTCACATTTAACAAAAACCCACCAATTCACCATCTCAACAAATTAGAATACTTCATAAGACCAATAAAAAAACATTTTTAGTGAATTGTTGGCCTTCTGGAAAGTACAGCTAGTTTTGAAAAGATGTAGTTTTGCAATTTTGCACATCTCTAGTTAAAATTGGATCATTCTTGCGATCCCAGAATTCAGACAATGAAACGAGAAAGACTCAGTGCTGCAATAATGAGATCTGTTGCAGTGCAGCGCAGCGTGGGACTCCCTGCTGCTCTGGTTTCTGTGGAACTGTGGAGCTGCATGGACACATAGCGCAGACAGAGGATCAGGGCTGATTTCTAAAGCTGTGCCCATGTGGGGGTGTAACACTGATGCAATGATGCTCATAGCGCCATAGTGTTGAATAATCCATGAATTGATCTGTTGAACATACGCATAACCACGTATGGATATAGTAGTACCATGTGTCTCAAAGGCAAGTGTGTGTGTGTGTGTATATATATATATATACATACACACAGATGCATCTCAATAAATTAGAATGTTGTGGAAAAGTTCATTTCAGTAATTCAACTCAAATGGTGAAACTCGTGTATTAAATAAATTCAGTGCACACAGACTGAAGTAGGTTCTTTTAATTGTGATGATTTTGGCTCTCAGGAAACCTTTGCAGGTGTTTTGAGTTGATTAGCTGATTGGCATGTCACCATATTCTAATTTGTTGAGATAGTGAATTGGTGGGTTTTTGTTAAATGTGAGCCAAAATCATCACAATTAAAAGAACCAAAGACTTAAACTACTTCAGTCTGTGTGCATTGAATTTATTAAGTACACGAGTTTCACAATTTGAGTTGAATTACTGAAATTAACTTTTCCACGACATTCTAATGTAAGCCTGTGATATTCAGAACGGAAAAATAGCTTACTACTTACGGACTACTACACTAAATACTATGTACAGCTTGCTGCTTTTATAAATAGTGTGTAAAATGGTATACATACTGTAATGATAAAAGTTTCAGTATGCTTTATCATGATCTCATTGTGGCATCAAGCAATATTGGACATTTGTAACACTGCACAGTTAATCGAAATAAAACCAAAATCGCAATATGGCTTAGTCCAATTATTAAATCACAAAGGCTGCAATTTATTAAAAGGCATATTTTTAGCATGTTTCAGAGTGAAGCACAGTGCTGTGTTCGTTTACACGCTGACAGCTCATGATTGTGTTTTCAGTGTTTCATAGCAGCTCGGTTCTCAGTAAATGCTGCTCCGCATGAGCTGCATCAGCTCTTGAGTTGGATCGCTTCTAACATGCATTTTGGAAAGCAACATGCAGCAATCATATTCCCAAACTTGTAAAGACGAGTGCTAATACACCTGATGTTATTATATTATATTGTTCTTATACAGTGAAACATTACAATAGTGATATTTCTTATTTTTATTTAGAAATAATAATAATGTTAACAATAATGATTTTATTTTACAGCACAATTCTTATTCAATTATTGTTATTATTATTATGTTTTATCTGGGCACACTTTGAAGGATTTATTTTGTACCATGCAAAATACCATGTTATTTAGCATTTTTATTTTGTGTATTAATGTGCCGTCTTCTGGCAGTGCCGTCAGATGAGCTAAGAGAAAGATCATTGTTAATACCGCCTTCACATTGGAAGGCAAATTTCATTGTGGGATACAGTATTCTCTCTTTTGGTAAATGTAGTAGGTCAGCCGGGTTTTCCATGTGTGGAAAATCTGCATACTTCAGAAATAGTGTGGTATGTACTACAGTATGCTAAGAACTTCCTGTTTTTCTCTGTAGTGGCAGCAGCGGGGGCAGTGGCAGTCGAGAGAACAGTGGCGGCAGCAGCATCGGCATTCCCATCACCATACCAACTCCCTCCATTCCCAACTCAGTCCCAGGTGAGCCGCAGCCCACATATACAGCTTCTGCAAAAACACACTATCTGAAGCACAATGTCCTACAGGTTAGGGCCAACTTGAGAATTAGACGTACTCTGCACATGTGGGTATTTAACGCTGCAGCATATCCTGTTCTCCAGAGTGAGAAATGGAGCAGGATTAGCTGTTCACTTTATGCCTACAGCTTTCATGGCCTGATTTTTCCAGCTAAAGGTTTGTTAAAGTAGGCCACTACACTGCACAAGGACAGGTAGAAATAGAGAGGAAGTGGGAAACTCTAAAGGGTGGTCTGCCTGCAGAGAACAGAAAAAAAGACTGAAGTTTAGTAAGAAAAGAGGTCACTGTCCTGTTCTCCTTTGAGATACCTGCTGGAGCCAAGAGGAACAGAACCCCCCCCCTCCATCTCTCCTGAATCTTTCAGTCGCCATAGCAACACTGCATCAGCACCTCTGATTTCCTTTTCCTGGATTAATGTTATTTAATGTTGACAGGACCTTTGAATGCAGTGTCTCTGTCCTTGTACCCCTTTTATGTCTGTTTGTGTATATTTGTTTAATAAAACGTAAGATTTTTCTCTAGGTCCCCCCCCCGGCTCTGATAAAGAACCGTTATGACATCCAAAACCTATCGAGCTACCCACCTAGGCAACATTTTAAGGCCTCTTCAATGCACTTGCACTGCAAAGGCTCCAAAAGTTTAGAGATATGCTGAGATATCTCATTGACACACCAAGTCATGGGTCAAATGTCTGGCCGTCGTTGAGTGTCTGTCAGGTCAGTTTTTGCAGCATGTTGGACCCCATTGGTGGCTTTTTGTCCTTTGAGATACCTGCTGGAGCCAAGAGGAACAGAACCCCCCCCCCCTCCATCTCTCCTGAATCTTTCAGTCGCCATAGCAACACTGCATCAGCACCTCTGATTTCCTTTTCCTGGATTAATGTTATTTAATGTTGACAGGACCTTTGAATGCAGTATCTCTGTCCTTGTACCCCTTTTATGTCTGTTTGTGTATATTTGTTTAATAAAACGTAAGATTTTTCTCTAGGTCCCCCCCCCGGCTCTGATAAAGAACCGTTATGACATCCAAAACCTATCGAGCTACCCACCTAGGCAACATTTTAAGGCCTCTTCAATGCACTTGCACTGCAAAGGCTCCAAAAGTTTAGAGATATGCTGAGATATCTCATTGACACACCAAGTCATGGGTCAAATGTCTGGCCGTCGTTGAGTGTCTGTCAGGTCAGTTTTTGCAGCATGTTGGACCCCATTGGTGGCTTTTTGCCTGACTGAGCATGTTGATACTCAGCTAGTGAGAGAGATCGCTTTGATTGGCTGTTTAGCTTAGTGAACCAGTGAACAAAAAGAAAAACAAAAGTGGTGAAAGCAAGCAAATAATGATGTAAAGAGTGCACACAGGGAAGGTGCTTCTGATTTTACATCTTCATCTTACCTGAGCATTCTAATATGCAAATATTTTCATAAAAACATGGCCATCTGGAATGCAAAAAGTGACGTTATTTGCTAGTTCTTTGATGTTGGTTTTCTGTAGGCAACATCAGTTGTACCTTTTTTGGTGAAAATAATTGGTTTGCAAGATCAAACAATTCATCCAAGATGGCAGACAGAGTTGAGGGAAATGTTGATTAGTAATGTACTTATGATTCAGAGAACTTGCATAATAATGCATTTCATGTTAAAGTTAATATCCAAAGTTATCTTTATAAAAAGATCACTCCACCATGTTTGTAGTTTTACCACTTTTTGTTTGTTTGTAGTTCTGAACCAAATCTTCATCCAACGTGCAATGGGTTGTAGGCAACATTAGCCATTAGAGTGTGCATGGATCTGCACTTTGAATTTCCAGATAGTGGTCAATCTGGGTACCGACATACTAACACATTAATGTTCTTTAATGTTTTATTTATGTTTGAATAAATCTGTCCAAGTTTTTATGACAGCCACTATTTAAATGTGTATATTTCCAAAAAACTAACTGAAGTAATTGCAACCTAATTATAAAAACTTCATAAAGTGCAATTTAAGCAGTTGTACAGCACAAATTAGTCAGTTTTAACCTTCAATATTATAATGTAGTACCAACTGACTCTCATGTATATTTTACAGCATTAGTTGAGAGATTTTTTTTTCCTTGAGAAAATTTGGCATGTACTGTGCCTGATATGTATCCAAAATAATCGATGTTGAATCGAATCGAATCGCAAGCTTGTGAATAAGAATCTAATTGAATCGTGAAATTTGTGTCAAAACCCAGCCCTTTTATATATATATATATACACACACACACACACACACACACACACATTAAATGAAATAAATAAGTAAATTGAGTCTCCCATGTACTTCACTCAGTGCTTCCCATGTAGAATGTTTTCAGTTAGTCCCCTACCAGGTTACAGAATGGTTAGGATGCAGCCTTAGACATCAAGAAACCTCTTGAGGCTTACATGTCTGTGTGATATTAATGAATGAATCGTCCTCAAGATGCGTTTTCTCTTATATGCCGGTTCTGACCCCGCAGTCACACTCTCATGGGCCGCTCCTCCCCCAGCCCCTCCTCCTCCACCCCCCCTCCCTGGCCAGGGCCCACCAATGCCAGCTGCTGCTATAGGTGAGCCCCTCCCCCAATCCCGTCGGCACCTGTGCAAATCCGTCCCGGACAACACCAGCGTTCCCGTCCCACCGTCCACCTGTCTGTCTGTGGGTCTTCAGCATGGGTCACAGAATTGATACGATCTGGGGATGGTGGTGGTGATTTGTTATTTTGGGTGGTGGTTTTGTGCTGCTTCAGTTTAAATCAATGCACTGTGGAGAAGTCTCTGAACTGCCTGAAAGTTTTTCCCAATATTCATAAAGAGAGTATGGGCGGATTATTAGTGGTGTCTGATAACAGCAAAAATCCTGTAGAATTAAGACCTGTTCACACTAGGGACAATAGCTATAACGATGAGATTTAATAATCACTCTAATTCTATAAGAATAAAGATGTCCACCCCATAACTATAATGACCATGACAAAGGAAAACTATGTCACTGGATTCACTTTCAGAATTAGTTTTTTTTTTTTTTCAGCTGATGAAAAATAAAAAGCCAATTCGAATCCAACCGGTTTTAAATGCGATCTTGCGCATTTAAAACCGTAGATGACAAAACTGCAGGAAACAAAATGTTATTGTGAGTTGATTTGAATGCTAAGATAGTTTTAGTTATCTTTATAGTTTTTTCTTGGTGTGAACAGGCCTTTAACTTGCAGTCACATTTACTTTTGTATTTTTGTTTGTGAAATTCTGCAGGCAAAAAACAGTCATGTCATTCGGAATCCGCACAATTGGGAATTTCGCTTGAGGTGAAAAATCCCACACAGATTTCGCATTGGATTATAATTATTATTATTTTTTACTTTGAACAACAAATTAATTTACTTGTATATAAACTGCATTTAAGTATGGAAGCCCATTTCCGCCAGTGAATCAAACATAAAAAAGGTAATTGCGACTTCTCACAATTCACTTTTTTTCTCTCTCTCAATTATGAGTTTGTATTTCGTCCGTTTAATTATTGTCCGTGCAGAGGCTGAGCCCATTTCCGCCAGTGAATCAAACATAAAAAAGGTAATTGCGACTTCTCACAATTCACTTTTTTTTCTCTCTCTCAATTATGAGTTTGTATTTCGTCCGTTTAATTATTGTCCGTGCAGAGGCTGTTCCATTTTATTGATCTATGGCGCATTCATTTTGATTATTTACACGTGTAATGATGTCCAGTGACTTGTTTGCATTATTTATGCATAATTTTATTTATTTGTAAGACTTTTTTATGACTAAATTTGGTAATGGGAGAGTAAAAATATTTTTAAAACGTACACCGTTCAAACTAGGCTGCTTATGTTGAAGTGTTTGGGATGTGGCTTTTAATGATGAGACCTTTTTTGTAATCAGGCTCTCAAAAAGTATATAACAATTTGGATATAGATTTATCGGCCAACATATCGGTTATCGGCTTTCAAAAATAAAGAATAATCGGTTATCGGTATCGGCCAAAATTTTCATATCGGTGCATCCCTAATTGTGAGTTTATATCTTGCAATTCTGACTTTATTTCTTAGAATTGCGAGTATATTCTAACTCCATAACATGCAATTGCGACCTTATATCACACAATTCTGACGTTATAACTTCGCAATTGCAAGTTTATATCTTGCGATTCTGAGAAAATAAAAGTCAGAATTGCAAGTTTATAGCTTGTGATTCAGAGGGGAAAAAAGTCAGAACTTTGAGATAGAAAGCTACCTTTTTTATTTTGATTCAGTGGCGGAAACAAGCTCCCATATGTAAAGCTCCTTGTTTTGGAGCTGTATGCATCGCTACACTATTGACAATAGACCATGACCCTACTTTGCATGCAAAATTTCACAGAAGTTTTTGGTAATATGACTATTCCTTCACATGGAAAAAAATCAAGCTGCATCTGGAACCCAATATATCATAGAAACTCGCGGTTGGGCTTGTTTGAATAATGCAGCCACCTAGCAACCACCCAGAATATCTTAGAAACTGCATTGCAACACCTTAGCAACCACCTTTAAAAATCTAGCTTTGTGTTGAGTCCGAGACTTCCTCACTGCAGGTTCTTTTGAAAGAGCCACTGTTTTCCTTCTGCTTTACATCTTCCCAATGTTATGTAACCCAGTGTATTGATGTGATGATATACAGTATTAATCAACATCCTGTCCCATGATTCTGTTGATTAGAACAGCAGGTTTCACTGGCTCCATCAGGACACAGCTGGGTGTTTGAGATGTTTGTGTTGTGTTTATATCATATGTCACTGGTGAAGGCTTGTGATGCCGCAGTGATGTTTGTCCACTGTGTTTGTTGTTCGCTTGGTTCCGGCCATCACTATCAGGGAGACTGTGTCTCACTGTCCCACTGTCAACAGGAAATCTCCCTATAGAGGAAATACCATCTGCCCTGGCAGTGTAAACATAAGCAGGACTATACTACAACTACAACTCACATAAACAAATCAAAAAACCTGGTACTTTTTCTCAGGGCCTTTTCTAACTTAGTGCGTTTTATTGCAGGTCATGTTGTTTTCATCTGAGGTTGGGTTTCTCACACCCGGGTTATCTTTGTGAATCTGGTGAAACATGTCCGGGTCATATTTATATTGAAGCTGGTTTCCACCACGGGATAAAAAAATAAAAATAAAAAAGTGACTTATCACATAGTTCAGACTTTTTATTTTTCTCCCCTCACCATTCTCTGTTTACATCTCACAATACTGACTTTTTTTCAAAATTCAGAATTACAGGATATGAGCTCACAACTCTGAGAAACAAAGTCAGAGTTGTGAGATTGAAAAGTCGCAATTGCCTTTATATATATATATATATGGTATTAATCAGTATCTTATTCCATAATTCTGTTGATTAGAGCAGGAGGTTTCACTGGCTCCATCAGGACACAGCTGGGTGTTTGAGATGTTTGTGTTGTGTTTATATCATATGTCACTGGTGAAGGCTTGTGATGCCGCAGTGATGTTTGTCCACTGTGTTTGTTGTTCGCTTGGTTCCGGCCATCACTATCAGGGAGACTGTGTCTCACTGTCCCACTGTCAACAGGAAATCTCCCTATAGAGGAAATACCATCTGCCCTGGCAGTGTAAACATAAGCAGGACTATACTACAACTACAACTATATATATATATGGGTTGTTGACATATACACTGTACATGTCTCCTATGGTGTAACAGCAACATTTTGAAAATAATAATGAATTATTATTAATATTTAATTTCTTGTTAATAATTGTTAATAATATACAAATAGCATAAGATAGATTTTCCTTCATTGTTAGTTTTAGTTTTTTTTTTTTCAAAATTTTTGCTGTCACACCATAGGACACATTTACGGTATAAAACACATAAATTCTGTATGTATGTATGTGTGTGCGCGTATATATATATATATATATATATATATATATATATATATACAATTGTAAGATGTATACTCAGAATTCTGAGGGAAAGATGTCGGAATTGCAAAAATTTGACAAAAAAGTCTAAATTAAACCAATAAAATCAGTTACATTTATCAATTCATTAATTTAATTAATTTAAATATTTTTGTTATTTATTTATCCATATATTTAAGCCCAAAATATAGTATAATATAATATATATATTAAAATAAATAATTTAGCATTATTTTGCTTGAAGCCTGTTTTAGAACCACTACATTTTTATTTATTTTTTTGTACTGTGATAATATTTGAAAGAAAATTAGAAACATTGTCTTCCAGAGTCTCACTGCTGTCTGGCTGTTTTATTTTTGAGTTTCTCATTGTTCTCGTTGAAGATTCTCATTCAATTTCCGTTACTGTTATATAATGTAATGTAATTTTACTGTATCATAGTAATACATTTAAAAAACGAATACATAGATGTTTTTTTATGAAAAGCAGCATAAATGTTTTTGTTTGTTTGTTGTTGTGTTTTTTTTGTAAAAAATAATGCAATCACGGCAAAAAAGGTTCACTATTTTTTCCCCCCTCCAAAAATGTATGAAATATGACCTAGAAATGTGCATGACATGTTTTGTTAGATTCACTCTTACGTTTGCCTATTAGTAAAACTAATAAATCTCGGGAAGCTTTTTCTTGCTTGTATGTATGTCATTCACTGCCCTCTTCTGGATTTTCTCTTGTCTCTGTACCTTCTTCTCTGGGTACGAACAGCTGTGGCTGCTGGGCCAGGTCTCGGGCCCATCCCAATGTCTCAGTTCGGCACGATATCTCGGCAGATCTCCCGACACAGCTCCACCACCTCCTCCGTCTCCATGGTTTCTGCCACAGGCACATACCGCCGAGCGCCGGCCGTCTCTGCCCAGTTCTCCCTGCAGCAGCCGCACGTTAACGGGGGCACAAACGCAAGTAAGACATGGAGAACGACGCATGAGTATACAGACACACGTACAAACTCGCAGCCAATTTAATCACATGTGGAGTTCCATCGCGACAGTTTCATTCCTTTAAATTCAGCCCTAGCTTGGTGAAAGCCATATCTAAGCATCATAATACCCGGGTATTTCTAGGCACATCCTGTCTGCGATGAAGGGAACAGCCTGTCTCTTCCCACAGGTGTGCGGCCGTACACACTAATGCCATTAAGACCGCAAAAGCCTCAGATTTATGAGCATTGAGAGCACCGGGCCGGTAGCCACCTGCTTATGAATGGAGATTTATTGTCATCTACGCATTAAAGCTGAGGTTTTAAATCTCACTGTCTGATGCCCAGAAGCATCATATCATCATCAGACGTGAACGAGAGAGTATTACTGAAACACAACATTCATGGAAAAAGATCCTATTGGTTCTATTTTAACAAACTTTCTATTCATCAGAGTATATTGAAAAAAAGCATCACAATTTCTACAAAATATTAAGAAATGTTTTTTAAGCAGCAAATCAGCATATTAGAATGATGCTGAAAATTCAGCTTTGCCATCACAGGAATAAATGACATTTTAAAGTATATTATAATACAAAACTTGTATTATTATTATTATTATTTGTAATAAAAAATACTTACTTTTTCACTGTAAAGACACACTTTCACATGTATTTATTTAAATTATTCAAATGGTATTTTTTTTTCTGGAAACTGTCTGGACATTTTAGTTCAGTTGTATTAAATTTCAGTTCAGGCCTGAAATAAACATGGAAATGAATACAATCTTTAATGGGAATTTCTATAATAAGTATCTAGCTAAATTGAAAATATTATGCTTAACTACAATATTTTACCAGCCAGGGTTATTAAAGTTAACTAAAACTAAAACCAGAGTTATTATAGTTAACTAGAAAAAAAAAGAAGGTTACTTGAAATAAAAGAAGTGTGTATCAAATATGATTTTTTTTATTTCAGCAAGTTTCCAAGCCAACATTTTGAATTATCATTGAGTGTAACTGGGTGTACTAAAATAACAAACTACAACTGAAAGAAACATTTTGTAAAAATTATATAACCAAAATACAAAAACACAACAAAATCCTAAAACTTTACCTAAAATTAACATTAAACCAGAAAATATAAAAAATGAAATCTATTTCAAAATATGCGACCCTGGACCACAAAACCAGTCTGAAGTGTCAATTTTTCAAAATTGAGATTTATACATCATCTGAAAGCTGAATAAATAAGATGGCTGAGATACAACTATTTGAAAATCTGGAATCTGAGGGTGCAAAAATATCAAAATATTTAGAAAATCGTTGTCCAAATGAAGTTCTTAGCCATGCATATTACTAATCAAAAATTAAGTTTTGATATATTTACTGTAAGAAATTCACAAAATATCTTCGTGGAACATAATCTTTACTTAATATCCTAATGATTTTTGGCATAAAAGAAAAATCGATAATTTTGACCCATACAATGTATTTGTGGCTATTGCTACAAATATACCCCAGCGACTTAAGACTGCTTTTGTGCTCCAGGGTCACATATTTAAAAAAAAAAAAACTATAATAGTATATCAATGATACTAAAACACAGTCACTAGAAATGATCTCTATAAAATGATTTCAAATCATTTTCCAGTCCATTACAAACAACTTAAAATGTACCAGTCTGTCTATATCTATAAGATTCCTCTATAAGATTACAATTCCCCAGCTTTCTCATGTGGGACTGATGTTATTTTTCTCTTCCTGCTTCTCTTTCGTCTCTGTCTTTGCGGTGTGCTTGTGTTCAGTGTCTATGGCCCCCCCTCCTCCACCCATGCCTCAGCTCACCCCACAGATCCCGCTCACAGGTTTTGTGGCCAGAGTTCAGGAAAACAGTAAGTCTGACGGCCTCGTTTCCCCAACGTTTCTCAGCCCAGCATGTGGATGTGTTCGAGGTTTGCTGCATGCATTTCCATCCATCCGTCTGTGCTGTAGTAGACATTGTTCATTCTGCACGATTCAAACATCGTACTACAGTAAAGCCTTTCCTCACGCCTAAAGCCTGCAGAGAAGTGTGTCAAACATTTACATAAGTGTGTACTGCTTTATGTAACCTAAAAGAGGCTTAATAGACTGTTTGCAGAAAGATTTCTTGAAAGGCACTCATTGTTTTTTTGTCATTTGCACATGTTCTACATTCTGGATTATATTGGGATTTAATCTCAGACGTATTCAGTGGCAATAAAGCGGGTCTCGTTTATAGACTTCCCCTGTATGTGATATTAGACACTCTGTATTCATTAATTGGGCTACATTTGTGTACAGCTCTGTGTTTGATTTATACCCAGCAAGCTTCAGGTAGGGCTAAACAACACTGATGCATCATGGGAACGGCATCGGTTAACTCGCATTCTGCTGAAAGTTTTGTATTTAATACAAGGTCGCATGAACAACTTGTCAAGTTGCAACAAAAATGCTCTCCGAGTGCGCTTTATTTCTCAGAAAGTTGTCATCACACAAGCACCAAGTGTTTTTTTGCTCGCCCTCTCCTGATGCATTCTGGTATTGTGTTGAGGATGTCTCACGAAGCCGTCTAGACCGCTGACTGAACTCTGTCTGATCAGCTTGTTATTCTTAGACAGGAATGATAGCTTGATCAAGTTCAGTTCATTTTGGTTTCATGTGCTTCCAAATATTAAAGCTGCTATATCTTTTCAAATATAATTTGACATTTATATTTTATGAGGAACGTTTAGGCGTCATAATAATAATAATAATTATTATTATTATTATTTAAAAAATAATTACATGTTATGTACAATTTGTGTAATAATTTAATAATTGTTAATTATGATTTTATTATATTATTTTTATCATGTCACTGTAATCAGGCCAAAGCAAATTCATTTTTAACCTATTGTTAACATTGTATAAAACAAAATAATAAAAAATGTCAATCGGTGTTATGTTAGTATTATTATAATATTGTATATTTTTAATTTAGGCTTATTTTTATATGTGAAGTTTTCATTTGAATGGAATTTTAATGCGTTTTTTTTTTTTGCAGTTTTGTTATGTGCTTGATTAGTTTTTAAGATTTATTTATGTATTTATTTAAACGTAACTCGTTTTGACTAGAATTTAACTAGTGGACAAGGAAACATTTCTAATTCATTGAAGTGTTAAATTCATTTTTTCATCCATTTAATTTCAGCGTTTTAGTTAACAAAAATGATTTTTAATAGTTTTAGTTAACAATAAGAACTCTGCCGTCAGTAGAGCAAATCATTTCCCACCAGATTGTAGAAAGCAATATAAAATGGAAATATGAAAGTTTAGAAAGTTGAAGTTTAAAAAAAGTTTAAAATATCATCAAAAAAGGTTTAGTTAAACTCAGGTTAACATTTAACTATTCTATTTTTTGTCTTCAAAATTTCTCAGACCCTCGAGCACCCTTTTCTAGTTTGAGTGTGTAGAGTGTGTACTGTGTATTATGTCGTATACGGAGGATAGATTTCATAGTGTTGCTGTCTTTTAGATATTGAATTCAACTCTGTTCCATTTTAGTCTGGTAAGTATTGATATCTGCGATACATAGACCGTAATCTCCCTAGATCCATAGATGTGTTTGTGTGATGCATGTTCTCCAGCAGACATGAGTGTTTCTGCAACTTCCCTGTTGTTGATGCATGTCTACTAACCAGTGTGCATGAGCATGTGTTCACGGTGAGCTGCTGGATCGCATGCCCAGCACATCTCTCCATCACGGAGCATGTGGTTTTATTGTGTCTGAAGCTGACGCTGTTGTTTGCTGGATGTCAGTTGCAGATCCCCCGACTCTCCCCCCTCCCCCTGATGACATGCCCATGTTTGACGAGGCTCCGCCTCCACCTCCGCCTCCGCCTCCGCCAGTCGACTTTGAAGAGGAAGAGGCAGCTGTAGTGCAGTATAGTGACCCCTATGCAGATGGAGACCCTCACTGGGCCCCCAAGTCCTACATTGAGAAAGGTGAGGTGTTTTTAAACATCAATACTGAATACCACTTAGTTTTATTTCTCTACTGAAATTGTATTTTATTGACAAGTAATTTATATCATATTTATTTATATTATTTTCTTATTTTTATTGGTGGTGTTGTTGCTATATTTAACATTGTTTATATATTTATTAACATGTATTCTTAGATTACATTTATATGCACACACACATTTGTATACACATATAATAAAAATGTTATTATTAACATGTAATGTTGTTTTTTTATTTATTAGCATTATTTTTATATTTATTTTATTACCTTTTACACATGTATACATAACATTTTATTTATTTGCATAACTATTTATATTTTAGTTTTATTGAGGTTACATTTTTATATTTGACATTTATTAATATGTAACTTTATATTTTTAAATATATTATTTTTTAAGTATTAACAATTATTTAAATAATAATAACAATAATAATTTTCATTATATTAATGACATTTAGTTTAACATTTTATTATTATAAACATATGTATATTTATTGAAATAATTTGTAATTATTTATGATTTATATATTTTATTATTATTATTAACTTTGATTAGTTTTTAACATATGTAACTTATATTTAATGAAATTATTAATGGTATGTCTACCAATAAGAATATTATTATTGACATTAATTCTATTAACATTTAATTATAAACATTGTATATTTATTGAAATAATTACCATATAATTTATATAATATAAAATGTTTATTATTATTATGCCATTTTATTTAATAGCATGTAACTTGTTTTCATTGATAGTATTATTATTGATATATGTATCATTCATAATTATTATATAATTTAATATATATTTAATTAAATACTGTTTAAGAAGTTACATTGTTAATAACTAAATTAAATGTTACTACTACTAAAAAATATATAAATCATTTAAAATTATGCTATATATAATAATAATATGTAATAGCATCATTTTAAATGATTTATATGTTTTAGTAGTAGTAACATTTAATTTAGTTATTAACATAATGTAACTTCTTAAACAGTATTTAAATTATTATGAATAATACGTATATCAATAATAATATCAATGAAAACATAATAGTAACATGCTATTAAATAAAATGGCATAATAATAATAAAGCTCTTTATTGAACATTAGTGTCTTTTATCATACTGTTGTTGCCTAAGAACACCCTTAATATAGTGCAGAGTCTGAAGTGGCTCATTGTTTAATAACTGATATTTCCCATGACCTGAATCTTTGCAGTGGTTGCCATCTACGACTACTCCAAGGATAAGGCTGATGAACTGAGCTTCATGGAAGGAGCCATCATCTACATCGTCAGGAAGAACGACGACGGCTGGTTCGAGGGCGTTTGCAACGGCGTCACTGGTCTGTTTCCCGGAAACTACGTGGAGTCCATCATGCACTACACCGACTGAAGAGAGCGGACCACAGTATAGAGCGCTGTTCCTCACAAATGAACTGTACTCCGTGGGGATGGGTGGATGTGGGCAAACGGGATGAGCAGCTATTCGGAGGAAGTCAGTGTACATAAAAGGAAAGTTAGCCTGTGGGTGTCTGTAGTGAATGTCAATCACAGTATCTTCAACATGTGAACATGCTTTTATGACATTTCCAACAAAGTCGACCATTTATTTGATTTCCTTGATCTCTCCATTCACATTTGTTTGGACATTTTGGATGTAAAAATCACTCATCTTATGAACTAATTACTTTGTGTTTTATCTTAAAGCACCACGTCATTGCCCCAAAGTGTATCAAAATCTGAACGTAAAGCATGCATACAAAATTGAAATATGTATTGTAACCTAAACGTTAAATTCCATTCATCTTTGTATTCTTTACAGTACACTTTTTTAATATAGGCATTTGTACTTATTTCTTATGCTCTACTTTTTAGTTTAATATTGATATCTTTTTTTTGCAATAAATGCAAAGCACAGAACTTTTTTTTCTTCTTTTTTCCTGAAGACTCAACAAATTCTCTCCCTCCATGTTTATATTTTTTTAGTAAATGCCACAATGACTAAAGTATTTGCTACAGTGAACAAACATGAGTTCTGTGTAGATGGATAGCTTTAATATTTAGTCTGTAAAGTATCTAAAGGTCTCTAATCAATACAAATCACAATTCTTACGATGCTGGACTCATTTTTTTTTTTAAAGTACCAATACTGTGGTTGGCGCATTGAACAATGAACTGAGTATCATCTTGAGATCTGAACTAGTTACTCAACTCAGGTCTGGCATCAATTCCTCTTTTTTTTTAATGTTTAATCTATTTCCATTCTTTGAGCTGTTTCAGTGTCTGACGACTGATTACAGAGATTTCATTCAACTTCATCTGACAGCTGTCAGTCATTTCAGGTGTTCAGAGCTAATGCCTCCAGACTCGTTTTTGTCACACTGAAACATTTGAAGTGTTCCAGCTGAATTCCATCTGCACTGAGGCTCGTCTCAGCTCAGAATTTGTATTTATGTTAATTGAAATGTAATTGTACAGCCTTTTATAATAAATCATTCTATGTAAAATGTGTGTCTGTTCATTAACATTTTCGGCCACGTGTTACCTTTTTTAAATGAATGTAGAGCCAGACTCAAATTTACATCTACCATACATTAACCAAATGTAATAAAAATTAGTAATAGTGACCAAAAAATAGATTTGTCCCTAAGTTTTATGAAATTTACAAACATCCTAATAAAAAAAAAAAATCATAAAACAGCCTAATGTGATTAATTTCATTAAACGATATATATATATGAAACATCAAGTATATAAAACCTAGACATTTTAAAACAAGGGTCCTGCTGTATTTCAGGCTTGTTTATAATTAAAAGTCTCACAAAACACTTTTTTTTTCTGGTTAATAATGCTATTTTGGTTGCACGGTAAACTTTATTCAGCATTTAATTCAACTTTTGTCTAAGCTGCCCATCAAGAATAAGATTATTTAAATATTATTCAAAATCTAGAATTTACTAGTATCAGCACAACAATCTGTTTATTACACAATTTTACTTCTAGTAAAGGCATATTATGAGCCTTTTTATTTTTCCTTTTTTGAGATGTTTTTACCAAAATCAGTTTGAGTAAAGTTTGATCAATGCCATTTTACTTTATAGAAATTAAAAAAAATTTCCTTTTTTTTTTATACATAAAACATTACATTTAGGGACATTCTAAATAGAATTGCTAGATTTTTATAGCATGCGGTTAATAATGCTATTTTGGTTGCACGGTAAACTTTATTCAGCATTTAATTCAACTTTTGTCTAAGCTGCCCATCAAGAATAAGATTATTTAACAAATATTATTCAAAATCTAGAATTTACTAGTATCAGCACAACAATCTGTTTATTACACAATTTTACTTCTAGTAAAGGCATATTATGAGCCTTTTTATTTTTCCTTTTTTGAGATGTTTTTACCAAAATCAGTTTTTGAGTAAAGTTTGATCAATGCCATTTTACTTTATAGAAATTAACATTTTTCCCCTTTTTTTTTATACATAAAACATTACATTTAGGGACATTCTAAATAGAATTGCTAGATTTTTACATACATTTCAGTGTCAATTTTATGTAATGTTTCTTTTTTTTTTTCCTAATAGGGACAAGATGGGAAAGTAAGAGTCAAACAGGTGGTTTACTTTAAAAAAAATAGCGTTTTTTAATTTGAGTAAATAGCCAGTGAGGTTTAAGGCCTTGGTTGTTATTAAGCACTTGATACACTTGAAGTACATTAACAAGAACATCTTCGACATCAAAGATGTTTGGCCTTTCCTAGTGTGGACGGATGTTTAAGGATCCACATAGACACACACACACACACACACACACACACACACACACACACACACACGTGACGGTAGCACCTCCATCTGTGCTACACCTGGAATTACAATGATTTCACAGAGTTTCTCTGTTCTTCCGTACCAGTAGAGCACCTCTCCAGAGGTTAACGGAGGTCAGGGCTGTGTGTTTACAGTACGGTCAAGCATACAGTGACCATGTAAATGTGATTGTTTGATCTCTGAAGCCCCGGCGTGGTCCTGCAGAGGTGTAGCTGCCTGAGTGTGGAGCTCTGCGTCCAGGCTCACTTGTCTCTGCGCAGCACCAGCTCAGTCAGCTGGATGAGCGCGTCTCGCTCTGTCGACGGCCGCAGCTGGCTGATCTGATGAATGGCCTCTTGGCAGTAGTGTTGGGCGAGGTAGTTAGTCTGTTCCACACCGTCACTCTGTGTGTGTGTGTGTGTGTGAAAACAGAGATGAGTGAGGCTGTTCAAAGCTACTTACAGAAACTTCTGTAATGATCTGGATGAGCGCGTCTCGCTCTGTCGACGGCCGCAGCTGGCTGATCTGATGAATGGCCTCTTGGCAGTAGTGTTGGGCGAGGTAGTTAGTCTGTTCCACACCGTCACTCTGTGTGTGTGTGTGAAAACAGAGATGAGTGAGGCTGTTCAAAGCTACTTACAGAAACTTCTGTAATGATCCTTTAGCTATACTAATAGGATGAATCGCAAGAAACATTAAAAACTTGTCCAGGGCATATTCCTGAGGAGGACTATGAGACCTCACTTACATATAAAATGAAGGAATATGTTCTATTAATTGTGACCCTGGATCACAAAACCAGTCTCAAGTCGCTGGGGTATATTTGTAGCAATAGCCAAAAATACATTGCATAACCGATTTTTCTTTTATGCCAAAAATAAAAAAATTCAGGTTCCATGAAGGTATTTTGTAAATTTCCTACCGCAAATACATCAAAACTTAATTTTTGATTAGTAATATGCATTGCTAAGAACTTCATTTGGACAACTTTAAAGCAATTTTCTCAATATTTAGATTTTTTTGCACCCTCAGATTCCAGATTTTCAAATAGCCAAATATTGTCCTATCCTAACAAACCATACAGCAATAGAAAGCTTATTGGATGTATTAATCTCAATTTCAAAATAATAGACCCTTATGACCGGTTTTGTGGTCTAGGGTCACAATTAATTAATGAATATATTAATTCAAATATAAAAATGTACATTATGTTTTAGACTAATTAAGACTAGACCGATTTAAAACCATTTCATTCGTTTTAAAATGCAGTTTTAAATCAAATCATTTCTTAAATTGAAAGATAATTATACAAATGTAAGTGAATTTGTTTTTGAATGCAGTTAAATGAAACAAAATAGTAAATGAAATATGTTTTAAATACACATTTTAATTGGCATTTAAAAAAAACAAAAAAACATTTTGCAAGTCATTTTTCTGCCCGCTTGTCCATTTTCTTTATTGCTTTGTCAAAGGCTTTACTTTTTCAATATCTCACCACAAAAAAAAGAGGTTTTATTTTTTATTTAATTTTATTTTTATTCATTTTATTTTTTGCTTAAAACAAAGCCTTTTTAATATCATACAAAAAATGGTATTCTCATTAATATAACAAAAAAAATGTATTAAGGTTATGCAATAAATATACATTATGAAAATATTATAGTATATGTAGTATAGCAAAATAATGAGTAAATATTTTTGGTTAACATATTTATGTAAGAAATGTATAAAGGTTCTAGATCATCTCATTTTCACAACTCACAATTTCAAAAACTCTTTTTATGGAGCTTTGTCTACTGAAAGACATTTCTTCAGCTGAAAAATTGGTAAATCCTCAGTATTTTCATTTCTATCAAACATTAAACAGGTTCACCAAAAATGAACATTCTGTCATTAATTACTCACCCTCATGTCCTTCCAAACCCAGAAGATCTCCGTTCATCTTCAGAACACAAATTGAGATATTTTTGATGAAATCCGAGAGCTTTCTGACTCTCTATAGAGAGCAAGGGTACTACCACGATCAAGGCACAGAAACGTAGCAAGTACATCGGTAAAATAATCCATGTGACATCAGTGGTTCAACCGTAATTTTATGATGCTACGAGAATACTTTTTGAGCGCAAAGAAAACAAAAATAACGACTTTATTCAACTATTCTTCTCCGTGTCACTCAAGTGCCATTTTGGAGAGTATTATGATGCATGCGCGTGCTTTCCTCAATGTAAACAAGGCACAGCGCATGCGTTTGGAACGACATGAGGATGAGTAATTAATGACAGAATTTTCATTTTTGGGTGAACTGTCCCTTTAAATATGGAGCCTCCCTGACTAAGGTCTATAATGTTAAAGGGGTCCTATTATGCTCTTTTACAAAGTCTTGATTTTGTTTTGGAGGTGTACCAGAACAGGCTCTCATACTAGGTTGTTCGAAAAAACACATTATTTTTCACATATTTGACATTATTACAACACCTCTCTCCCCAGTCTAGCATGAACGGCTCGAATAGTTCCTGTATCAAATGAAGTCCCGCCTTCTGAAATACGAAATATGCTGTGATTGGTTAGCTGGGCCAGTGCGTGCTGTGATCGGTTAGCTGGGCCAGTGCGTGCTGTGATCGGTTAGCTGGGCCAGTGCGTGCTGTGATCGGTTAGCTGGGCCAGTGCGTGCTGTGATCGGTTAGCTGTTTTTGAAAAGTGATTTCTGTTAAATAAAATATCTCCTTTTGAAGTGGACTTTGAGCTTTGTAACTTTGCAGATCTTTTTTTAGGCTCAAACAGCAACATTACAGACTAACTAATGTTGAAAAAGTGAAAACGCATAATAGGACCCCTTTAAATGCTTGATTTACTACTTAGTGCTATATTTTTATATAGTGGTGAAATGGAATCTGGACATGTCTTCATGAGATTCACTCTAATACAACAGGGCTGCAAAATGATTAATCGCGATTAATCACATTCAAAATTAAAGTATTGACACTTGTGACTGGTTTTGTGGTCCAGGGTCACAGAGAATTTAACATGGATGACGAGGCTGTGAGGGATAGACTTACATTCTTAATGACACACACTGTATAAAGGTTCTAGATAAACAAATCCTTCTCACCTTCAGGACATATTGCCAGGCTCGATCCACATCTCCATCAGAGCTGAAGCGTCTCATTATCATTGCATGCAGCTCGGGAAACTAAAGAGTGAAATCAGTGCGAGTATGGTTGAGAAGACTTTAGAAAAACAAAGCTACAGATTGTGTTACAGTTACGTTTATAGCTGTAATAAACCAAGTCAAACATTAGACCCGATTCCCCCGAATCTGTACTTGAGGAAGTGACATCATATTGTGAGAGCACAGGTGTGTTCAGCAGTCATACCTGTTGACAAGCGAACAGAACGGGACCGGTGGCCAGACCCAGTTTGAGATCGGCAGCTGACGGCTTCCCCAGGCGCTTTGCACTGGAAGTGAAGTCCAGAATGTCATCCACAAGCTGAAAAACACAACACAACTAACTTTTTACTTGACTTTTACATGACACAATTCTTACAACATCATAATTTAAGATAAAACTATGTGAACTTTAATGAAATGCTTAAAGTTGCGGTGGATAATTACTACACTATTATGGTTGTGTAGTAAACAGAACTGCAATCTACCTGTTTGTCTGAGCAACTCCAGGCTGAAGTGTTTGAAATGTATTTACAGAAGTCTATTTAGTGTTGCTTCTGAAGAAATGACACACTGATGCTTTACCTAGAAGAACTAGATGAAGTCTCAACTGATCACGTTCAGTTCATTAATAATTAACTATATTCATTTCCTACATTTGTAACTGCCAACAAAACAGCCATTATTAGCTTTGTGAAAAGAGACCACAGCAACAGCCACAACTTTTGATAGTACAGAATCGAGTTCTTTTTTGCGGCTCACTGTGCGTAAACGGTCAAATACATACAAAATATAGAGTATTCACAGTCTTAGAATACACAGTTATGTCTTAAGTGAAAGCAAACCGTTGAGAAAGAAAATGCATGTTTGGTTATATTGGATCTGTGCATTAGGTCTTAAAATGACAGCAGTCTAATGCTTGTCTGTGTCCTTAATGTTAATCAAAAACCAAAAGGAAAAAAAAAAATAGCTGCTCTTCACTAAATAACTATACTATGTGTGTGTGGACTGTGTATATTTATTATGTATACATAAATACACATACATGTATACATTAAGGAAAATATGTTAGATTTATATACAAAATATTTATCGTATATAGAATATAAATTATATACAAGTCAAGTATAAATATAAATATATATATACAAATATTTTTTTTAAATATATACATGTGTGTGTATTTATATATACATAAATAATATACACAGTACACACACATATATGTTATGTAAACAAACTCTATTTTGCGATTAATCGTTTTGTAGCCCTAATTCAACACAAAGCCTTCTCCCCTTCAGGACATATTGCCAGGCTCGATCCACATCTCCATCAGAGCTGAAGCGTCTCATTATCATTGCATGCAGCTCGGGAAACTAAAGAGTGAAATCAGTGCGAGTATGGTTGAGAAGACTTTAGAAAAACAAAGCTACAGATTGTGTTACAGTTACGTTTATAGCTGTAATAAACCAAGTCAAACATTAGACCCGATTCCCCCGAATCTGTACTTGAGGAAGTGACATCATATTGTGAGAGCACAGGTGTGTTCAGCAGTCATACCTGTTGACAAGCGAACAGAACGGGACCGGTGGCCAGACCCAGTTTGAGATCGGCAGCTGACGGCTTCCCCAGGCGCTTTGCACTGGAAGTGAAGTCCAGAATGTCATCCACAAGCTGAAAAACACAACACAACTAACTTTTTACTTGACTTTTACATGACACAATTCTTACAACATCATAATTTAAGATAAAACTATGTGAACTTTAATGAAATGCTTAAAGTTGCGGTGGATAATTACTACACTATTATGGTTGTGTAGTAAACAGAACTGCAATCTACCTGTTTGTCTGAGCAACTCCAGGCTGAAGTGTTTGAAACGTATTTACAGAAGTCTATTTAGTGTTGCTTCTGAAGAAATGACACACTGATGCTTTACCTAGAAGAACTAGATGAAGTCTCAACTGATCACGTTCAGTTCATTAATAATTAACTATATTCATTTCCTACATTTGTAACTGCCAACAAAACAGCCATTATTAGCTTTGTGAAAAGAGACCACAGCAACAGCCACAACTTTTGATAGTACAGAATCGAGTTCTTTTTTGCGGCTCACTGTGCGTAAACGGTCAAATACATACAAAATATAGAGTATTCACAGTCTTAGAATACACAGTTATGTCTTAAGTGAAAGCAAACCGTTGAGAAAGAAAATGCATGTTTGGTTATATTGGATCTGTGCATTAGGTCTTAAAATGACAGCAGTCTAATGCTTGTCTGTGTCCTTAATGTTAATCAAAAACCAAAAGGAAAAAAAAAAAATAGCTGCTCTTCACTAAATAACTTTCGTTGAATACTACTTTTAAAGCTACCTGAAAAAGCACTATTTAATTTGTTTGTTTTAATCTTTATTCTATTTATTTGTGCTAGTAACTGCTAGTGCTGCCAGCTCCTTGTTGAGAAAGATAATGTAGCTCTTCAGCGATTAAGCTATTTTATTGATAACATTGCGGGGCAGAGCTCAAAAGTTTGTCTGAGCGCTAAAAAGAATGTCTGTGTGCACGCAGCATGATCTAGTGACTAAACGTGTGTGTGCGTGAGGTAACTTACAGTGAAGACAGCGCATTAGTTTAGAACTCTTCTAATTTGTAATTTTTTTTTGTTTTAATGTAGAGAATGTGTTGATTTGTGCAATGATAACCTACCAGCAATGTTAAGATGATTTTAATATATTAGTACATTACAATATAAATTTATTAGAATGAGTACATTATTATTTATGGGCTTAAAAACAAGATGCAAACAATCAGAATATTGTACCTGGTGGGGAGTGCCCAATGTAAACATGAAATATATGCCATTACCTATATTGTACTGTGGTACAGTTATGGAGGCCCTTCATAATGCAGAGGTCAAGTGCCTGCTCTGCCAATAGTTAGCAACAGCCCATATCGTGATATGTATCGTATAGTGGCCTATGTATCGTGATATGTATCGCATCGTGACTTTGCTGGTGATACACAGCCCTAGTAACTGCTTATAATTTGTTATTTTATTGCCGACTGTTTACTCGCCTTTTTTTAATTAAAAAAAAAGCTGTTTCTTTGCATTGTTCAGTAAAGAAAGTTAATAAATAAATTGGCAATGTACATAGGCAACGTTCATATGTGCTTCATAAATATGAATTACAGAAATAAATAGTGATGATATTTAAATAATGGAATAATACACATACACATAAATGATAGGGCCAAAATAAATTTAAAACCCAAGAGAAATTCACACATACGTCTGAAAATTACCTGGAATGCAATGCCAACATTTCGTCCATATTGATAGGCGATTTCATGCACCTCAGGATCAGAATTCACCAAAATTGACACCTACAATTCAAATGAAAAAACACTGGAGTTTAACTTCTTTTTCAGCTCTGAACTTCATCTTATTATTAAGACAGAACGTACATACTGCTTTACAACTGTTCGCAATGAGACTTGCGGTCTTCTTAAAGGTTTTCTCAAGGTAGTGCTTGAATCTCTCGTTTTCATTCTCTTTAGACCCCAGCTGCATGAATTCACCTGGAATTTAGCAACGAAAAATACATAAAAAAATTAAAAAAGTTCCACTTTATAAAACATGCATGATAAATAGGGCAGCATGATAAATTGCATGCGATATTTAATGCGCATCTTGTCAGAAAGCCGGTTCTGTAATCAGCGGTAAATCTCCATCACGTGTGTGCTTTCACATTGAGCAGCATTAACTACACAGAGCTGTTGTTCACTGACAAGCTGTGCAAAACCACGTTCATATTCGCGCGTTTTTTGTGCAGCTCGTCAGTGAACAACGGCTCTGTGTAGTTAATGCTGCTCAATGTGAAAGCACGCACGTGATGGAGATTTACCGCTGATTACAGAACCGGCTTTCTGACAAGATGCGTGTTAAATATCGCATGCGATTTATCGTGCAGCCCTAATCATAAATCAAATCCAGACTGACTTACCTCGCACAAGGTCTTCTATGACTTGTGACAGCACAGACACTACTGTAGTGTTCCCAATACGTGCTAATGCCATGGATGCCGCTGACAGAATGAAATCTCCAGCCAGGATAGCCTAACAGTTCCAGATTAAAAAAAATGTAATAATAATATTGTTGCTTATTTTCAAATCACTAAGAACAATTCATCAGATTTCACACTGAACATCAACAGGCAAATTTTAAAAAGACCTTTATAAGACCAAGCACACAAAATTGGGAATAAATTGAAAGGAACACAGTGTGTCGATATAGTCTCTAAATGTAAATGTATTATATTAGCAATGTTTCAAGTTTAAAAATAAAACTTGCAACATTAATATAATTCGTATGCTTTGAATGCTTCTGCTCCAAACTACTAGAATATGGAAATAACTTTAACTGTAACTTCTAATTACACTGCAAAAAAAAAAAAGGAGTTCATTTGCAAAAGCAGATAACTTTTATAAGATAAGATCATTTTCAAATATCATGTTTTTTCATTGTGCATTCCAATTATTCTCAATCAAACTGCAGTTGGGTTATTTTGATTAGGTAAAAAATAACTAAAAAATACTAGCTAACTAACACAATAAAAACATGATTTATAAAAAATAAAAATAAAAAAAAAAAGAGCTGCATTAGACTAACTGGGACTTGTCACAGACCTTACATGTTGTTGCTCTTTTGTTGGTTTGATTGTTTCTGTTGTCCTCATTTGTAAGTTGCTTTGTGTAAAAGAGTCTGCTAAATGATGTAAATGTGAATGTAAGATTATTCTCAAAAAAAAAAAATACAAATCCAAATTGTGTAGTTTATATTCACACCTTGCAAAATGTTTTACTCAATATTTTAAAGTACTGAATGTTTGATTTTCTTTGTGCTCATCTCTCATGGCAGTATGAGAAATCACTGCTGGAGAAGTGCATGGAGCTGAATGTCATTACTGAGAGGTGAAGAACTCAACACACCGTCTCACAGCATCTTACACCTATTTTCATTATCTTGAAGTTCTCATAGTGAAGATCAAATCACGTATAACTGACAGTGTTTACTCCTCAGGTGTCTTCATACTGAGGATGAATACTTCCTCAAATCCATGAAGGAGGCCATTCACGAGATCCTTACTGATGTCAGTGACTCCTTTAGCCATATGATTGACATGGCACTGGCCAATGAGATACAGGTGAGCGTAGGCTTATACTACATGATGCTAAGATGTTGCTTAAATATATCTACACATGGGTCTATAAATACAGGTGCATCTCAATAAATTAGAATGTCGTGGAAAAGTTCATTTATTTCAGTAATTCAACTCAAATTGTGAAACTCGTGTATTAAATAAATTCAATGCACACAGACTGAAGTAGTTTAAGTCTTTGGTTCTTTTAATTGTGATGATTTTGGCTCACATTTAACAAAAACCCACCAATTCACTATCTCAACAAATTAGAATATGGTGACATGCCAATCAGCTAATCAACTCAAAACACCTGCAAAGGTTTCCTGAGCCTTCAAAATGGCCTCTCAGTTTGGTTCACTAGGCTACACAAGCATGGGGAAGACTGCTGATCTGACAGTTGTCCACAAGACAATCATTGACACCCTTCACAAGGAGCCACAAACATTCATTGCCAAAGAAACTGGCTGTTCACAGAGTGCTGTATCCAAGCATGTTAACAGAAAGTTGAGTGGAAGGAAAAAGTGTGGAAGAAAAAGATGCACAACCAACCGAGAGAACCGCAGCCTTATGAGGATTGTCAAGCAAAATCGATTCAAGAATTTGAGTGAACTTCACAAGGAATGGACTGAGGCTGGGGTCAAGGCATCAAGAGCCACCACACACAGACATATCAAGGAATTTGGCTACAGTTGTCGTATTCCTCTTGTTAAGCCACTCCTGAACCACAGACAACGTCAGAGGCGTCTTACCTGGGCTAAGGAGAAGAAGAACTGGACTGTTGCCCAGTGGTCCAAAGTCCTCTTTTCAGATGAGAGCAAGTTTTGTATTTCATTTGGAAACCAAGGTCCTAGAGTCTGGAGGAAGGGTGGAGAAGCTCATAGCCCAAGTTGCTTGAAGTCCAATGTTAAGTTTCCACAGTCTGTGATGATTTGGGGTGCAATGTCATCTGCTGGTGTTGGTCCATTGTGTTTTTTGAAAACCAAAGTCACTGCACCCGTTTACCAAGAAATTTTGGAGCACTTCATGCTTCCTTCTGCTGACCAGCTTTTTGAAGATGCTGATTTCATTTTCCAGCAGGATTTGGCACCTGCCCACACTGCCAAAAGCACCAAAAGTTGGTTAAATGACCATGGTGTTGGTGTGCTTGACTGGCCAGCAAACTCACCAGACCTGAACCCCATAGAGAATCTATGGGGTATTGTCAAGAGGAAAATGAGAAACAAGAGACCAAAAAATGCAGATGAGCTGAAGGCCACTGTCAAAGAAACCTGGGCTTCCATACCACCTCAGCAGTGCCACAAACTGATCACCTCCATGCCACGCCGAATTGAGGCAGTAATTAAAGCAAAAGGAGCCCCTACCAAGTATTGAGTACATGTACAGTAAATGAACATACTTTCCAGAAGGCCAACAATTCACTAAAAATGTTTTTTTATTGGTCTTATGAAGTATTCTAATTTGTTGAGATAGTGAATTGGTGGGTTTTTGTTAAATGTGAGCCAAAATCATCACAATTAAAAGAACCAAAGACTTAAACTACTTCAGTCTGTGTACATTGAATTTATTTAATACACGACTTTCACAATTTGAGTTGAATTACTGAAATAAACTTTTCCACGACATTCTAATTTATTAAGATGCACCTGTA